CAGCAACTTAATAGCAGTATATATGCTCTTCTCAGAAGCTAATGAAAAAAACATTTATTTATTTATTTGTTATAAACAATTTTTCTTGTTGGAATTTCTCTAAGAGATGCAAAGTTTAGAACCAAAAATGTGCATCTTTACTTACATAGAATCATAAGGAAAATTGTGCATGTCTGAAGCAGCAGATAGGTAATGTTGAGTCTGGGAACTTTCAGACAAATTCCAGACAGGCATCTAGCTTCTCTCAAGTCTCTGGCTGATGGCTCTGGTGGCATATAAGTGGCTGAGTGTCCATATGCACTTTATCCAACTGATATTCCCAGAGTACTTCTGAAGTCCAGCAGAATCAGAATAGTGTGATACTCAATTTCTAGCTGCTTTATTTCAAGTACACATTGAGAAGTCATGCTGCTTTCCATAACTTTTTAACAACCCAGTGTTTGTGGTACTTGCTTCATAGCTGCACTACTCACTCATTATTCCAACTTATTATTCCTACAAGCCTGCCCTAATGCCAATAGATAAGATAGTATGGCAGCCTCTCTTATGTCTCCTGCTCAAGCTGGTCTGCAATACAAAAACTATCCAAGACAATGGGAGAGGACATCATGCAAAAAAGGGTCTGAACCCCTGAAAGTATGCAGAAAGACCCTGAAATAGAAGCGAGCTCTGTGAGAGGAAAAACTTTTGGCTGTTATTTACAAGTCTATAAATTGTTTGATAGTTCCTGTCGGTAACTTTACACTTTTCACAGGGCTTGAAATTTTTCATAAAGATCTCTTCTGCGGCCACAAAAATGGCTGATTTTTTACATTGTCCTCCTAAGAAACTGTCTGTCACACTGCAGAGCTCTCTGTGGATACAGAGCCTCTGAGTCTGTTACTGAAGTTGGAGCTTCATGTAGGATCAACACAGCTATCTTAATTTTGGAAAAGATAAAACCTTTACGGGATTTATTCTTCCATGTTATTCATAATGGTGGAATGCTTCTCATTGACAGAATGGAATTAAGAGAGTAGTGATATTGCAAAATGATTGTTAGTCAACACTCTTTAAAGGGCTGACTTTTTCAAAACTCAACATTCACGGAAATACTGAGATATGTCAGAGATAAAGTAACATATTGACAGGTATCAATCTTTCGTAGAAAAATAATTAAGTGCAATGTGAGTTCAATAAGTGTTGTGAACTTTATTACTAATTCCCTGCCAGAGGCCACGGGCATATAACCTGTGAATGATTCTTCAGGTTCACTTTAAAAGTAAGGCAAATGAAAATAAGCTTTATTCTAACACAGCAAAACCAGGTTTAAGAACCAAATCAATGATAAAAATTAAGGTATAGATAGAAGCATGAAAACAGTAGCATGCAGAATCTATTGAATATCATGTTCTTCATCTAATCATCTCTAAGGTTTTCTCAACTCCAGGAGAAGGGATTTTAAAAGTAGTTTCCCTCTACCTTGCTGTCTCAGAATGATGCTGTGTTGTGGTTCTCTTTCTCAATCTAGCCATACTTGGATTCATTGTTTGCAAGTTAATATTTGAAGTAGTTGCACATTGTTCTCACTTCTCTTACTTTCTGAGTAATTAATTTAGGAAGACTTTTATATAAGAGAGTATAAGAATGTAGGTTGTATATATTAGTACGCAGTATCCTGTGTACCATGGAAGTACCATGACACTGTTAAAAAAAGTCACGCTGAATTTGGATGCTAAGAGTAGTAAACTGTGACTGCTCTGAAACAGATCCCAAGACACGTATGACTGCTTTGATACTAAGGATTCTGAATCATAGACAGATTTATGTTGGATGACTTATTGTAGGTTACTTGATCAAAACCCTGTTCCAGGAAGGGTCAGCATAAGTCATGTTGGTCAGGACTTTGCCCAGTCAAGTTCTGGATATTCTTACAAATGAAGAGGTCATAACATCATACACAGGGGGAAATAATTCAAACTTTTCTATATTTTTTAACTACTGAAAGACATTCAGAATGCTTTGATACACATTTTCTTTGCCATAATGCTACAAAGTAGACATATTTAATAAATGCATAGACTTAGCAAGATGTATACTATGCCTTTCATTTGCAGAATATTTATTTATCTTTATAAAAAAAAAAAAAATTGACTTTTTTTAAACTAATAACAATTTCCTATAAGGAATTTTGAAATTACCATACAGGAAAAAGTATACTAAAACAGCTATATGAGTATAAATATGAGACTTCCATGATAGGAAGCTGTCAGTGCATCTGTTCTAATCTTTGAATGGCCTCACATTAAAAATAGCATAAATTTTACACTTTGTTTCTAAGAAATTTTATTTTATCTTATTTATACTATTTTTATTTTACCATCCTTCCTAAAATATGGTAAAGAGTATGTTAAAACTCTGGAGAAGTAGCTAATTAAGAAATTTAAGCAGTATTTTGAATAGATAAGAAATACAGTAATTAGCAGTTTACTTTCTTCTTGCCTGGAATATCTATGTGAGGTAAAGAATGACTGGGAGATTATGAATTTTTGATTGAAGAGAGCATGCTGTTTCATTTTTCATAGAAATACAGCTTCTTTCAACTGAACATGATTCAGCTCACAAACAGTAATAACTTACTGAATCTTTATTAGTAAGCCAGCAGCCACTAAATTAACTGGTTTGTGTCACCATTTGATTTTGAAGAATGAGCTGCCGCGGTTAAGTTAGAAACTGCCAGGACTGGGGAAATAAATAAATAAATAAATAAACGGGAATGTTATCACAAATAAAATGTATTATTTTCTTACTATTTTCTTACTATATTTATTTTCTTACTATTGTTGATAGTGGTCAGCAGTTTATACAGAAACATTTCTGTGATTTAAAAATTACCCTTATTTTTAAATGTGTAAAATGGGCATTCTGTGCACTATTTCTGGTTCCATATACATCCTGTATCTACAGTAATAAGCATTTCTTTTTAGATAGAATCTTATTAAATTCAGCTTTTCAAGTCAAATTTCATATTCATCCAAAATGTTAGTGTGTGTATATATATATATATATGAGCCATTAGTTTGCAATGTTCTGATCCCTTTCCAAATGAATAGTTTTTTTGAAGTTATTAATAGTCAAAACTTTTTTAGAAGTCAGAATGTTTATTAGTAACATAAATGCTTTAAGCAAGTGGCCTCAATTTTATTCCACAAGGGAAAACATTTCGACAGCTTCTCACCTCAATTATGTAAAAACTACCACACTTTAGCATCACGTGTTCAGTTTATTTAGATAAACTGAGGCCATTGTAGGAGGATGCAGTTAAAATAGTAATCAAGTCTTTTTTTCCATTTTCCAGAATCTATCCAATGTTATTTTAATCCACACATGTGAATACACTTGTGCATTTACACAACTATGTAACTGTTGCTAATTACAGTCATACAGCTTTTGTTTAAGAGTTCTTCTGGGTGTCTAAGAGTACTCATCTAGCCTGAAAGAGAAATGTGTTTTGTTAATAAAACCTTAGTGTATCCGGTTGTCTGAAGAATCAATCAAATTTCTCCTTGTGATCTATGGAGGCAAGGGAGCAATGCCAACAGGAGCAATTGCTTTAAATTTCATGGCTGCTTTAGTATTAAGGCAATCAAATGTGAAATATCAGTGCATCTGCACATCACGCATGACTATGCCCTGTTATTTTGATGTAGGAGAAATAGAAACTTAGATTAAGTGAGAAATGTGAAAAAGAAAACAACCTAAATAAACATAGATCACACACTGTGAAAAAGTGATATGAAATCTCATCAGACAAGATTACATCTTACTATATCCAATTCTAATGAAACAAATCAAAGATGGCACAGAATTAATTAATTAAAAAGTAAAGTTGTCTTAATGCCTAGAAATCAGAGATTGTTCATTCTCTTTTCATTACAGAGGAAAAATATATCATACTTCTCTAAGTAATAGTACACTCATATTAATTTCACTCCCATGTGTAGCTTCTGTCAGTCAATAAGCTGCACAGATTCCTATCAAGTCACAGGAATGGAGCTACCTATCTTCATTGCACTGAATAACAAACAAAACAGGAGAAATTAGGAGAATGTGAGTAACCGTTGAACTGAAATAATTTAAAGCTTCTCTCACTGTACCTATTGGACTGTATTCTTGAGTATTTTTCATTCAGGAATGAAAGGGATTTTAGAGAGCATGGTTTTTCAATTATTGCATGACAATATAGTGTTGAGTACTGCTTAATTCTTGAGTATTGAGGTATGGCTATATCTTTTCTTTGAACATTATAAACTTCTTTGATCACCAAATCAGAGGTAGTTGAAGAAATATTTATAAACGTGCCATGTGATCTGAAGTAAAAAAAAAAGCAACTAACCTTTAAAAACTTTGCAGCATTCGTTTCTAAATCCTTACTCTGAGATTGAAATGTTATTTGAATTAAATAGTATAGGGTTTTTTTTTCAGTTATGCAGTTATCTGGAAATGTTTATAACTAATTTCTGAATATATGCAAGTACAAAATATGCTCCAGAATGTCTTTATTTTTTCCATATTGCATTAAGTTCCCATGTATTCATCTATCTGTTGGTCATGTATCTGAATACTTCTTGATTTTGTATTTCTGCCTACTGGCTCTCTATACTTCACTTGCATCATATTTTTTGATGTGATTTGTCTGCAAATATTTAGAATTCCTTTAGAGAACTTTTAATGAGATGGTAAAAAAAAAAATAGACACCTGTTAGGTATGTGGCTTAGCTCTTTTGTTGTTGCTAGGGCAATAAAGGCATTTTCTCTTATATTTTGATTGTTGTAACAGGCTTGCTTTACACATTCGTGTGATTATAAGTAAACTGCCAGTGTATCACATTGTGTCAGTGGTTCAAGGTTTGTAGTTCTGTAAGATTTGACAGACATCAGCTTTCTTGCATGAAGTATTTGCAATTGATTTGAAGAAATTGCCTGAGGAATTTGTCAACACTATTGATTTTTTTTGTCAGATAGTCTACATGGGCTGGACGGAAGAACGGGAACAAGACTCCCTTCAGGATCGAATGTATACACCAAAGTTTTTAGCACTGAGGGGATCTTCTCTGTATAAATTTATGGCACCTCCAGTAAGTATATTTCTCATGCTGTGTGGACATAAATGTTATTAAATAAAATGATTTCATGTAATATGTACCAGGCTTTTACACTGAGCGCTCATTTTGTTAACGGCATTGTAACTCAGAGCACTGAAAAGTTCCAGAGAAATGTATTATGAAAGTAGCAGAAAATAACTGTTCATCAGATTACTGTGCAGCTAACAAATACTTCTTTCCCCTCGGTCACCTGAACACTTAGAACAATACAGGAGAGAGCTATTTGTACTAAAAGGGGGCTTTTCATTTCCCTTTGGCAAGCAAAACAAGCCAGAAGCAAGTTGGTTACATTTAAACTGAACTGTCATTCTGAATGCAAACTGATGAGATTTTGGGTAATACCAAAGCTTTTTGCAGGCTGTTGAAATGGCACAGCTTGTAGAGCAATATCTCTGTCTTTAATTTTTACCCTGAATATAACTTCTGTGTAGTTTGAGAGCACCAAAAGGAAAGTAGGGAAGCAAATGAGGCAGTTCAGGTTGAATATTAATTGGAATCTGACTGACAGGAAAGGGCAAAATTTCAGCTACTGTCTCCAAATCAGCAGTTTAATTTCATGGCTTTATGGTACATCTAAGCTGCAGGAAACACACATATCATCTAGCTAAGTTTTAAGCCAGTAGCTAAAGATTTGGCAGCAGACCCATACAGGCAGTACTAAGAGTTTAGCAGTTATCCTGATTTGGGCTGTAGATCCTTCCTGTTGGAGGTAGTTCAAATTTAGATGGCAAGTGTCCACGCCATTCTTCATTCACAATTCTATCTTCCTCCTAGATACAATGCTGAATGCTCCTGTTCTGTTCAAAAGAAAAAGATTATTCTTTTGTAAGCAGCGTGGAAGAAACTACAAATTTCTTTACCAAGAGTTTGTTGTTATATTATTTCTATTTATATACAATATCATTTTTACTATTAGTTTCCAGAAGTAATATGTTGCTTGTGGGTAAATGACTATGGGAAGAACCTATTTATAGTAGGAATGTGAACCACAGTGCTGTGAGTTAGGACAGTTCTGTCAAGCTGCTGCTTTATGAGACAAGGCTGATTTCAAAGTCTTTATTAGGGCCTTGTTTCAGATAAGCTGTGGGCAAAACAGAATTTAATTATTAAAAGTATAACAGACTCTGGTTCTTATTCTAAAATAGGAGGACAGTTGAAACAAAAAGAACACAATTTCTTTCCATTGAGTAGGAGGGAAGAATAATGATAAACAAACTCTTTAAAAGACAAACTGGGGAAGAGTTTCTGTAGAGGTGCTTAAAACCATTTGTATAATACTTGTACACTTAAATGCCCAGAAAAATTTTCTTATTCTCAAAGACTGCAGAAGGCTTTTTAGAAGGACATTCTCTATGCAAACTTTTACACGTACAATTGTTTGCTGTTCTGTGGGCATGTACATTCATCTCTTCCAGGAATTAAAACGATTAAGAATAAACTTTCAAGGCTACAATTTTGGAGCTTCTAATTATGTAACATGTAAATGTTGTTATAGGAAGAAAAACAATTTTAATTATATTTGTATTATAAGCTTCTTGGATTAAGCTGTTTCTGAACAGATCTGCCAACATTTTAACCAGAAAATTAAAAGAAACTATTGTCCTGTTAACTCCTGAGGGAGGCATGTGTTTAAATAGTGTACCTCAGCTGCCTCCCCCTGCTATATTTTTTTATCTATTTGATCAATAGCACTTTGCCTCTCCGTGCTCAGGTGCATGATCAGTTCTAACATACCTTATTTGCATCTTAAAACTTAATTACCTTACAAAGATTTCTTGGCACACTGGTGATCAGGACAGGCAATTTCTAAAGATGCTGTCAGAAATTTTATGAAGAAGGGGGAGCTCTCATGTGTTTTCCCCAAAGCATGGAGCCTGTAATGACCTTCTAAATGAAACTTCAAGTAGCTGTGGCCTTCAGCAGGAGTAGAGGTTACTTTTCCTGATGGGACAGGGCAAAATGATACTTCTCTGGCTAGTGCTTTGTGTTCAGTGGAACTGTAGCAAAACTCAACTCCACATTCCTCTGTTCCTTGTGAGAGATCATTTCATTTTCCGTCTGAATTAGAAACAGATTAGTTGTTTGGTGTGGGTTTTTTTTGTTTGTTTGTTTTTGTTTTTGTGTGTTACGTTTGTTTTTTTTGTTGTTGGTGGTTTGTTTTTGACAAAAACGTTTTGTATTTTTTTGTCACATCTCAGAATAGTTTCTCAAAATTCATTGACAAAGATTGTATATTTCCAATATTTCTTCACTTCCTCATTTTATATGAAGCATTATTTATTGATCCATAGTATTTAGTCTCTTTCTTCTTTCTAAATCTGATTTAATACCCATACTTCAATAAGATGGTAAAAAACTGAGTTTGAGGATGACAGCAAATAAATAAAATTCCATTTTGAAATTTTAATTCTTGAAGATATGAACTATGAACTATATATATATGCATGTGAGTATGTGAACTATGAAGATTTTCCTTGAAAGAGTTTCAATTCTAATAGTCTGTATCCCTAAAAATTAGTTAAGTATAGAATTTTATCATACGGGACCAAAATCACTTTGAACAAGAAAGTAATACGTCACAGCATCCAAGCCCATACGTGCTTCTTAGCAATATGGGGTCTATTCATAGTTTTCTCTTTATATAAAAAATAAGTTGGTCTTATGTATTATCTTCCTTTTATGCTGTGGCTATAATTTGATGATATTTTTCAAAGAGTTTTATATTCTTAAGTTTTGAAAAGCGGACTATACTACTTCTTCGACTCTTTTGTCTTGCCTAGCTGTGTAATAACCATGATCCTTTGAAGCTGAGGCACTGCAGTAATTCTTGTAGGCCTCAGTTTTTCTTTTCTCTTCTTTTTTTTTTTTTTTTTTGATTGTTTGTTTTGTATTCCATCTTTTGAGGCTGTGACTAATTCTCTTCTTTCCTTCTTGCAGCTTCCTTAAAAAGTTATTTATAGGCTTTTTAAAAAATAATTGCTTAAAATAAATACTGTTAAAAGCAATTGCAAAAATTGTGAGATAATGTGAAGAAACAGACTTATTCAAATCTCACTCTGTTTGAATTTAAGAGCAGATTCACACTGGTAAGAAAAAAAGTGTATTTACCTTTGTTTTCTCTTGTTAGTTTTTTCACCTAGATTGCAAGTCACATGTGATAAGTGTCTAGGACACTGCAAGGTTGGAAACTTCAGTTTTAGGACCTCTGCAAACAATGTATGTATAACAAGAAATTCTGTTATAAGAACAGAAACAAGGAGAAACATGTTAGGGTTCTGTGAGAACATTTAAAGGGCTGTATCATTTTACAATCTCAAAGCAACCCCCACCAGCATGGATAGGAGACTCACAGGGGAAACCTGTTCATTCAACGTAGATTAGCCTGCATGAAAAGCTATTGAAAGTGCAAGGAGACAGACGCCTTTTCAGCGCTGATCCATGGTATTTTGTGCTCTGAGGTAGTGCTTGCCCTTTCTGTGTACATTATACTGGATGTAAAAGGTAGAAAGTTTTAGGGATCGATTTTTATTTTATTTTTTTAATAAACTGAACTACTGAAATGAAGAATAATAACTTGGCTTCTTTTCCTGTTTTTTCTTTTTTCTATTTTTTTCTTCCAAGGTCACAACCTGGGATTGGACACGAGCTGAGAAAACATTTTCAGTCTATGAGATAATGTGCAAAATTTTCAAGGTATGATGAAAAAGTATAAAATAAATTACCATTTTGTCAGAGCAGTCGAGAAGCCAGAGGATTACACTGGAACTAGAAATTCCTTGTGACTGCGTTGCAGAAAGACATCAGATCTTGTCCCTGTGAATCAATATTATAAGTCCTGAAATCATTATATACTGATTAATTAGATAAATTTAGAAGAATTGATTGAACTGATTTTTAACTCGGAAACTGTTTTATTTCTCCATCATGTAGTATGTGTTTTTTACTAAAAAAGAGTTTTATGGCTTTGCTTTACTTGCACATTCAATCATTAGAACATTTCTTTTTCTAATTGAGGAGTTAAAAGAAATACAGATCAGTTCTATTACTTTCTAATGTGTTGAAGCAACTCACAGTTGCAATGTAAGATCACAGAATCATCGAATCACTCAGGTTGGAAAAGACCTTAAAGATCATCGAGTCCAACCACAACATAACCATACTACCCTAACTCTAACAGCTCTCTGCTAAATCTAAGATTGCACTAAGGCAGACAGCAAAGTCATTAAAATATGTAATACCATTCTAAAAATATTTGTCCTTTTTCTAATTGTTTCAGTTTACTTTAACTATAGGAAATGGGAGAGCTAATTAAATGTTCTGAAAGCTAAATCGATAAGTAGCAAATTGAATAGATCCATTTCAGTGCATTGTATTCATTTATTTTTTCTGATTTTGTTCAGAATTAAAACATACTCTCTCTTTTTAAAACATTGAAAAACAATCTTCCAGATATTCAGTATTTCTAAATCTAAAACATGAGGGAGAGAGAAGGAAAAAAGAGACGAAAAATTCTCTTTCCATTCATCTGAAGTGCTTTGCCATGTTGTTTTTACTAGGTTAAATTTTTGGTTTTTTTTGTGTGAGGATTTGGATTTTACTTTTCATCCAGGCAGAGTCCAATATCAAGAGGTATGAAAAAAATATTTTAAAGAAGTGTGTCCCTTTGGGAAGACCTTGTACTGACATACATGTACATTTTCTAGTTTTTGTAGGTCATGTAGGTGAACTCTATTCCTTTAGGAGGTAGATTACAGATGGAACAACTCAGAAAAATATGGAAGCTTTTTACATCAGAGACTTCAAAAATAAGAAACCACATTTTTAATCTGAGTAAAAAACCACTGTTAGCAAACAGAAATAGAAAAGGCAAAGGTGTTCTTATACAACTAGTTTGGACAGAGGATGACTGTGGTTAACTACCAAGTGCGTGCAAACATTGACTCAAGTAGGAATAAAATTAACAGAAGCAGCTGTTCACTCTGTGAAAGCATTGCACTCAGGAGTAATATGAGCCACTGTGCTTACAACACAGTTACTTTTAGTGACTAATGAAATATGTTGTTAGTGGCATATGCTTTTTTATTTTAATGGTAGTCTGTTTACTTCAGGACTTCAGTATGGAAAACAATAAGCCCCTAGCACCTTCTCTTAAGATTTAAGCCTGCAGGAGCAAGGACAACTCCTTGTAACTTTATCCAAAGATTTTACTATTCTCTTTGCACCTATGATGTGTACTTTTTTTTAATTCAGAAGTCTTTCTTCTATTCCTTCTTTCTACTGTCTTACTTTGTTGATACTCTTCTAATTCACTCGTTTTTAGCCATTTTTTCTTTCTTCCTCTTGTTCTTTATCCCATTTGTGTGTACTAATGTAAGGATTTATTTTATTTTTTTTTTCACCTGTGTAGCAGAAGTTTGTTACATGAAAGTAGGGCTTGCCCAGTCAGCCAGAATGCAGGCCATCAAACTGTAAAAACTGAACCAGGAACTTCCTGGTGCAGGAAAGATTGCAAAGATGCTGTTCTTTCTTGTCATTTAGTTCTTCAGACTGTCTGTAGATCCTCCATTCTCAGTCTGTTTTAATATAGGATTATCCAGCATAGGGATAATTGCTGGTTAAGTGATCTAAAAATATTACTGATGTGTTTACCTCGTTATTTATATTCAGTTATTATTTTATGGTCTGTAAGCATGATCACATTCATAAAATAATGAAGTGTTTTAAACAGGTTTGTTTTTTTTTTACTGTTGAAAAAATCACTGCAATGAAATTACAACTTCCATCAGCATGTTAACATTCATCATCTTCTAGCTTTCTGCAACAGATTATATCGTCCTTATCCATTGTTTCACTAAATATTCAAGCAAGTAAAACCAGGAAAAACAGCTTCCCATTACTATTACTACACTGAACCTCTGTAATGACTTTAGTCTTTGTTCAGCTTTTCTGCCAGCATCAAAAAGTGTCCAGGTGCGTTTGTACAAGACAGATTTTCTGCATGGATATTACCCAAGCAGAGGCAACTTTAAAAAATTTAGATTGTTACTTTGTGATCACTTCCAAACTTCTTCCCTTCTATCATACCTCACATTCTACTTTTATTATAAATTCATTTCCTTGGAGAATAATTTGGATGCTAAAATTGAAGCCTAAATTCACAGATATTGATGTATAGCATGATAACTTCAGAAGCCCGATTAAAAATGTGGAGAAAAGAAACCTGGACTCTTCTAGTGCAGTTTTCCCTTTTTTACATTTACTATTCTTCCATAAGAGCTACTGAGTTCATGTCATTCTTTTCGGAAATATTGGGAAGATAGCATTGTTCTGTGCTTCTCCTTCAATAGAGATAATCATATGTCACTGGGCAGAGATAAATCCAGGAAGATACTCACTCAATTTGCAGTGGAATGTTATCACTCAGTGTATCTTGAATGGGTTTAGTTCCATCTTCTTTGTTTAAGTTCAAATTGTTCAGTCCACTCATTTACTTGGAATAAATATCACAGAACGTTCCCAATTTGAGGGATGCAATCAAAAGTCTATTAAGAATATTATTCTTAACTATTCTTGCATGATCACCATGGATTTTGTACCAAAACCCCACCTAGCACTCACCCACGCAGTTCCTAGTCTACTAGTTTAGACTTCTCATGGGTGAAGGAATGTTTTCTAATGAGCAGTTTTCATATGAATGTCCTTGTTGTGGTTTAACCTGGCAGAGAACTTAGCACCATACAGCCTTTCACTCATTGCTCACCCCTCCCAGTGGAAAGTGGGGAGAGAATCTGAAAAAAGTAGATGAGATAAAAACTATTTGCTAAGATGGAAGAGGAGAGAAATAGGAGTAATGATAATTATATGTATATATATATAGTACATATATTTATACAAACATTTACAAATTAATTGATTTACAATGTAATTTCTCACCACCTGCCAACTGATGCCAGTGCTCAAGATTTTCAACATATGAATATGGTGTGGCCCTTGTCAGTTTGCTATAGTGTCAACAAGCAGTCCCATACGTACTTAATATATTAGTACAGATACAGCTTCTGTAGCTAGTATTCAGTTTAAGTAGAAGGACTTGAAAATGGTCTTTGCTAACCTTCATATGAATTTGCCATGGAATGAGAGGTAATGTTTTAGAATTAATGTTTCCACGGCGTATTTCCTTCTGTATTGATCAGGCTGCTGAGCTTACTTAGAAGGTAAAAGATATATTGTTTGCATGAAAGACTGAGTGTGTTGGCTTGGCCAGAACTGCTGCAATGTCTTTATATAGCCAGAAGGTAAGCAAGTCTTGGGTTATGTCTTCTTTGTGAAAGTGAATTAGTAAATGTCACTGTAGCGCTTACTAATCAAAATGTATATGCATTACCTGGTTTGTTTAGATTGGAATGAGACTTTCAGAAACTTTTTCCATTTTTAGACTTACGAACATTATAAACTAGCATGCAACTTTCACCAAGCATGCTAGCATTTTCTGTTGCTATACTCTGGAAACTTTAGGAAGTATCTTTTGTGAAACAAGGACAGGATTTACTGCTAAATCTCTCAGTAAAAATTTTGTTCCTTCTTCCAGCCCCTAATTCTGTCAAAAATTCTGATGAATGCCACTAGAAGAATTTTGATTAAAGAAACCTTCTATCCTAAGTTTATCCTTTTAAATGGTATTGTCGTTTTCATCAGTTAGAGAGATTTGAAGTTTCTCTCCATGACAGAAGCACCGAAGTGAAGAATGTGAACTGCCAGATCTTACTGAATGCACATTAATATTTCAGTTTTTTAATATGAGAGAATACTACTTCTAGTGACAGTAAAATATTAAAACACTAAATAAGTATTAATGTCTACCAGCCAGCAAAGGACTTCACTTATTTAGTCATCAGGAAGGCAATGTGTTAAATAAAACTCAGAATCATGGCAAACGTTTTCTTCATACTTGACTGTATGCATACAGTGTGTTCTCCTTTGCATTAATTCCAAAGGCTTCTCATGAACTATGTATGAAACTGAGATGCCATTTTCAATTTCTGTAATTCTCTCAACCTCAAGGCAGGATCTCCTGCGCCTCAGAGATTAAAGTATTATGTGGTTCAAAACTTGTGGATTCATATTTGTTAAAGTCCTCATGATAAATCTCTGTTTTGTTGTCACTGTAATGTTTTTTTTTCTTTGTTTGTTTGTGTGTTTTGTCACATTACCAGGAAAAGAAAGAGGAGGAGACTTAACCTAAGCAAAGCAATAAGTCATTATTGTTAATCTGATTAGAACTTTTTAAACAATAAAAACAAAAAGAAGATTTTAAAAAACACTATTTTGACTTTCCAAAACAGTTTTACTGACATAAATTCAGAAAATGATCTCTGATAGCATAATTCAATATTTAAAATCTAGATAGATAGAGAAAAAGTAAAATGAAATAAAATACAGTAAAATAAATCACACTCAATTACTGGAATAGTAATGTGATACAATCCACACCAGTGGATAATAAGGAAGTTTCTATGAAAAGACTTCAAAGTATCTATTAAAAATATATATAAGTGTAAAAATTTTCACAGTCACTATTTCGGGGGTGAAATTTTAATTTGACAAGTCAATTATTAAAACTGGCTGAGTACAATAATCACATTTTAATTATATTACATGAAATTATTCATTATGCTTCAATAGTGGTAACATAG